TCCCCCCCCCCACACCCACACAACTTCTATGTCACATCCAACACCTTTCCCACTGTGCCATCCATCAACCAACTACTGCAGTTGTCAGAATTTCTACCCCACCATTTAGCCACCAGGCCAGCCTGCAAACATCCTCTTCCCTGCCTCATGCCCCTCTCACACCACTGTGCCTTAGAGCCCCCTCCCATACCTCACACAATGCCTCCGATGCCACCCCCCTCCTTCTCTTAGGCCCGGTCTACACTGAGTGTTGTAGCGCTTTTTCTGCTCTAAAAAATGCTAAAAAAATATGCCAAAAACAAATCCCATTAATTTCCATGGCCCTGTTCACATCTGATCATTTTGTCGAAATAAGCAAAATGCCTGTCCCTGGAAAAAAGTACAGGAACTTTTTTTTTTTTTGGCATATTATAGCTCGTTTTGGCCCCATAAACTCAATAGGAAACGATTGAAAACACGAATCAATCAATGAGCTAGAATCTGCTCACACAAACGCGCAATTTGATATAGGCGCATAAAACGTGCAAGAAACACACAAAAGCGCGCACCAAAAAATGCTGTCTTCTAGGTGTGAACCCAGTCTTACTGTCATACCTACCAGCAATCCCCCTAGGAAAGCAGGACAAAGCGGCCACCTCTCCGCCTTACCACATTGAATAGTAAAAGAAACAGTGTGTATGAGAAGCAAAAACGGCAAGGGGAGAGGGGGAGTGTGTGTGTCCCTCATCCCATCACCACACTGATGTTCCCCTTCCCAATTGCTCCACCCCCTTATTGCTGTTGCAAAATGTCCTCTCCTTGTTGTCACCTCAAATGTGCACAGGTTTAACTGACTTAGCTTTTAGATTTATTGTAATATTCCCAACCTTGCCCATTCTGGAACGGGCCCACATTTTAAAAATGTTGTATTTTATAACATAGATACTGGTTTAAATATTTGTTATCCCGCAATATGTGCAGATGAAAACATAGGATTTGGGTTTCATTCACAGAGAATGCTTAAAGTTTACAAACATTGTTTAAATGTGCTATAAATGATATTGTTACTTCATATTATGTGCCTCTGCAGAGAACGCAGATAATGACAACTGATGCCAAAATGTGATGGAAATAAAATATATTTCGAATATATTTATTTATGGACTGCTTTCCTTTTGTTTCGAATAGGGGCACAACATCAGCCCCATGGATACAAGATCCCTGAAATGGGGATGAGCTGGATAGAAAGTCATCTTTATTCATATTCCTTTAGCATAACACATGAATGCAATGTTTCAGAGCCTCACAGGACCCCTGCGCAAATAAAGATGACTTTCCAAAGCAGAATGGTGTGCGGACAACATATCTTTTATATTGTATGCTGATGCATCATCCACCAGTTGTTCCAGCTCCCGTTGGATTCTGGGGTACATCGGTACGGAGTGCGAAGGGGATATTACAAAGAGCTGGATAGAAACACACTTACCACCTTCACCCTCCCTGATTAGGAGCATTCTGCCATGCAGCTCTGCTACCCTGTTTCCCTGAAAATAAGACCTACCCCGAAAATAAGACCTAGTACTATTTTTGGGAATTTCTAAAATATAAGTCCTACCCCGAAAATAAGACCTAGTGTGTTTTTTTGAGCCAAATAAAATATAAGACAGTGTCTTATTTTCGGGGAAACACGGTAGTAGCTTATAGTACTTCAAAATATAGATGTGTAGATTAGCTACTAAAAGAAGCTCTGTCTTTCACATCAGTCACACAACCTCCCTTAACAGTTGAGACATTATTTGCATAGGAATTGCATTGTTTTCACTGTGTTGGCAGGCTATAGACATCAAATGAGAAGGAGCAGTAAAGCAAAACTACTGTGTAGCACTGTAAAGCAGGAAGCAGAAGCTGTACATGTAATAAGCAAATTAGGCTTCCTTCATGTACATAAACAATTATACATAAAAATAAGATTTTAACTCTTTCGTACTTTATTGAAGACATTTCTACACAACTATTGTCAAGTACCCACTTAGGAACAGTTGGTAGGCCTTTGGGGGCAGCAGTTAAAATACACACTGTAGCACCATGCCTCACAATCTCCTGCTAAGTCTCATAGGAGCACAAAACTCAGAATGTCTCAGGAGGCCATGGCATAAAGGCTTGTGTTTTTCTGCAGTACGTTCACACTAGCTGCACAGTAAAACCTGGTGGCTTACCGTGCGCAGCTAGTGCCCACTAGGTGGCAGAGGTGAGTTACGGTGTCTTGAATTGTTACAATGCAAGGAACTTTTTTTTCCTTTTTTTTTGTAAAACTTTATTGGAATCTCAGCTGCCCTCGGCAGCTTCGTGAATAGACCCCAAAGTGTACACTCCATTCAAGGTCTGCACAGCAGTGCGACGACCTCTGGTTCCACCCAATGCCCTGCATAAAAAAGGCAGGATGTATGCATTTTTCTGCAACGCACCATAGATCACACAAGTGTGGTGGTGTGTATGGGGCACATAGAAAACCATTGTGCCCTAGCAATGACCTGTGTTGTTCTTGTTCTTCTGCAGAAAAGAGAATGAGGCATCATTTCACACATGGATTGACCACCAAACCTTAAAGTGACACTAAAGTCAGGAGTTAAACCTTAAAAATACATTGAAATACCTTAACTAGTAACAAAATGTATCTTATTTGTGTATCACTCAGCTGTAGATCCTCAAATCATCTCTGAATTCAGACACTGTCCTTCCTTCTAGAGGGTGGCTACTTTTGTTCACATAGTCTCTGTGTGTGTTGTAAAGTAGTCACAGCTCCAAGCTTGCTCCTGTGATGGACTACAACCTCAGGTTCAGTTTATTAATTTGTATTGAGATTGTAGTCCATCACAGGAGTGAGCTTGGAGCTGTGACTACATTACAACACACACAGGGACCATAGTGAACAAAAGTAGCCAGCCTCCAGAAGGAAGGACAGTGTCAGCATGAATTCAGAGATGATTTGAGGATCTACAGCTGAGTGATACCCAAATATGTTACATTTTTATTAATAGTTAAGGTACTTAAATGCATTTTTAAAATTTTACCTCCTGAGTTTAGTGTCACTTTAAAAACACTGAGAGTGGAATTTATAAAAACTGGAGCAGACAAAAACTGGAGCAGCTGTGCATGGCAACTAATCAGCTTCTCTCTTTCATTTTCAAATCTTAGCTGAACAAACTGAAGAGAGAACCTGATTGGTTGCCCTGGGCAACTGCTCCAGATTCTGTCTGCTCCAGTTTTGATACATTTCCCCCCTGTGGATCTTCAGGATGTGCTGGAGAGAACTTTACGCAGTGGTCTGACTCTCCCATCATCACTGCAAATCTTAGTGAAAAATGAATGCAACTCTGGACGGAAATAAATATTGTGACATTGCATTAACTTATTAAAATGATGTGTGCCGTAATCAAAGCTAAAGGCGGTCCAAGGAAATGTTAGAGTGTGACCTTTTTTTGGCCAGGCAGCGTATATTTTCAACTAGAGAAATTCATATGCGAGACAGTTTCCATTTCTCCAATATTTGAAAGTCAAAGAAGAATATTTATAAGAGTTTATGTACATGGGTGCACAACGGAAAAACAAAACAAATGTTGCATGCTTACAGGGAAATAGCTTGCATTTGAAATTAACTTTATTTGCTTTTAAGCAGAACATGAAAGGGAAATGATCATGGGAATGCGCAATACAAAGTCCCATACAATCCAAACCCAAACTCTGTGCTCCATGTCCTTTCACACTGCTTAGAGCAGAACTCAAGCCACAAGGATTTCTACCAGTTCTTACATGCAAAATAAAAAAAAAAATTGTTACTTTGCTCAGATGTAGTAAATGTCCAGATTGCTGCCCTGTACTTTAAAATGTATATGTCTGTGAAAGTTCTCATTCATCCGGGTCATGGTATATCTGTAAAAAATAAGTCAAGGCAACTGGACTTGCTGTATTTTTCTTAAAGACGTTTCACTGGACATCCAACCAGCTTTCTCAATTCAGAATGACTTGTACAAAAAATTATCTGGGAATAAACATGGTGAATGTTGCTCCAATCCAAATAATCTGTTAGTCACGACCAGGTGTTGATTACATTTGCATAATTGGCATCTAGGAGGTGTTATTAACCTGCCCAGAGAGAGGTGTTAAAACAGCATCTGTGATCTATGAGGACCCCCAGGTCTTTCTCCATGTCCTACTTTCTCAATGCAGCACCCCGCAAGTACTAGTTTGCAGGCACGTTCTTTGCTCTCATGTGCATTACCTTGCACTTTTCAATATTAAATCGCAGCCCAGGCCTCAATTTTATCTTGATCTTGCTGGAGTGAATTTATGCCTTCTTTAGAATGTACTGCCCTACAAAGTAGTCGAGTAGTAGGCAATGTGTCAGTATGGCAGCTTGTAATCTCCACCAGGAGGTGCATGTTAAAGGGTGACAACGTAGAAGCACAATTGGTTGTAGCTGCCCCATAACAGGAAGTGCCACCATGGCAAGTATTATTTAAATGAAAGCTGCAGATTTAAAAAGATTGAAAACAACTTTTGGAAATGTTAACATGGAAAACCTTGTGTAAGATTTTAGTGATTGTGTTTAGATCCGCTTATCGATACTAAACAAGGTGTGTTCCGTTTGAAAACCCAATCATGTGTTAGGTGTCATGCACACAGGCAGAAAAAACAATGATTTTAGCCAATGTGTCATGCACATTGTGGCGGTTAGATCTGTGTTTTACAGCAGCAGTCAGGGCCATACAAAATAAAATGCCCTAAATCTGCGTTTAGAGAGGCGCCTTAATATTCGTAATTACACATTTTTTATGCTGGATCCAGCGTAGATCAGAGTGTTTTTAATATACACTCTGCATGAGTACTTAGGGAAATGTTTTTTTTTTTAAAGCCCCAATCGCTGGCGAAGTGGGTCACATGAGCACCTAGTGTGATTGGGACCTTTCTCACGGATTAGAGCAGCGGTTCTCAACCTGTGGGTCACGACCAGTGGCGTAACAATCACCATAGCGACCTAGGTGGCCGCTATGGGGCACAGGGGGGCCCGGCCAGATGCCGAGCGGACCGCCTGGGTCGCTATGGCATCCTCTGCTGCTGGCTTTCACTGGAGGCTCTGAAGAGGAACATGCCGCTGTTCAGATCACTGACCCTAATCTGTGCAGCAGCGCGTTCGTCTCCACAGCCACTGCTGAATCAATGAAAGCCAGCAGCAGCGGTGAAGGAGGACGGACCCGGCAGTGGTGGAGGAGGAGGCGGGGCCCATGGTCAACAGCAGGGGAGGAGGCGGGGCCCGGTGACGGGGAAGGAGGTGGGCCCGGCGAAGGAGGCGGGGCCCATCAGCAAGCGTGGAGGAAGAGGAGGCGGACAGGTAATGAGTGCGACCAGCCCACCTGGCTATGGGGCCCTGTGATTTCTAGTTACGCCCCTGGTCACGACCCAAAAGTAGGTTGGAACCCCTGTTAAGTGGGTCGCCGCGTACCTTCTGCTGCATTAGGTGAGAGGCTTCTCAGCTTACTCCTGGCGCAGCAGTGTCAGATCTCCCGCCACACCGCAAGATGTTTCTGCAGCGGCTGGGGAGGAGCTGATAAGCAGGCGAC